ACTCACAAACACACATAAACACGCACAAACACTCACAAACACACACAAACACACATAAACACGCACGAACACACACAAACACGCACAAACACGCACAAACACTCACAAACACGCACAAACACGCACAAACACGCACAAACACTCACAAACACACATAAACACGCACAAACACGCACAAACACACACAAACACTCACAAACACACATAAACACACACAAACACACACAAACACGCACAAACATACATAAACACGCACAAACATGCACAAACACACACAAACACGCACAAACACACACAAACACGCATAAACACTCACAAACACTCACAAACACTCACAAACACACACAAACACGCATAAACACTCACAAACACTCACAAACACGCACAAACACGCACAAACACGCACAAACACACATAAACACTCACAAACACGCACAAACACTCACAAACACACACAAACACGCACAAACACACACAAACACACACAAACACACACAAACACGCACAAACACGCACACACATTTACACAACCACCCTTTCCCGGCGGAGCCCGCCCCAAACGCAGCGCAGCCCAGCCTGGCCTCAGGGCGGGGTCACAGAGGGGGCGTCGCTCGGGGGGGGGATCCGCGCACACCCCGCCCTTCCCGGTGTCCCCCGCCCTCCCGCCGTTCCCGGGTCCCCCCCGTCCCGCCGCTCCCGCGCCCCCGTTCCCGCGAGCCCCCCGCGCTCCCCCCCCGCCCCGGGACGCGCCCCCGCTGCCCCGCGCCCCCCGGCCCCGCTCCCCTCGGTCACCGGTGCAGCAGAGCCGGGCGCTCAGGTACCGCCGCCGCTCGGGCCCGGAGCCGCCGCTCAGCCAGTCCCCACCGGGACCCCACATGGCCGCGCCGCTCCGCCGGACGGGCGCGGACGGGACCCACCATGCACCGACCGACGGACGGACCCACGGCCGGGACCGACCAGCGGCACCGGGCGGACGGGACGGGAGAGGGGGGGGAAACGGGCGGGACCCGCCCCTCTCCGCCCCGCCCTCCCCTCGGCGGCCCCGGCTGCGCCACCGCCCGTGGCACCCGGGGGAACCGGAGAGATCCAGGGGAAACACCCCGTCCCTGCAGCCCGGGGCAAACTCCATCCCACAGCCCGTGTTGTGATGCCCGGACGGGACGGCCCCTCCCGCACTCAGGACCCCCGTGCTGGGACCCGGCGCCCCGCACACACAGCCGGAGCCCCCAGGACCAGCCGGTACCGCGGTCACGGGGCACCCCGACACCTCCAGCCCCCGCGGCCCGGCCCCTCCACACACACAGAGCCCCCCCCGGGGGTGGGGGCAGCCTGTGCCCCCCAGCACAAACCGCCGCTTCCTCCAGCACCCATTCCTCCCATTCCTCCCGGCTTCCTCTCCCCACGGGGGTCCCTGTGCCGAGGGCAGCCCTCAGCGCCTTTTCCGGGGGGTGTTTTCCCCACCGACGCCCCAGAAGCTGCCGAGACCCCCCGTGCCCCCGCCCGCGGTCGGACGAGCCCGGCAGCACCGCAGGGCCGGACCCGTTTGTGCTGGGAAGGGGTTTACGGCGGGGACGGGGGTCCTGGGGGATGCCATGGCATCCCGATGCCCCCCAACCCCCCGGCCCGCAGGTCACCTTCTCCAGGCCCGCAGCAGCAGCAGCAGCAGAGCGAGAAGCCCATGGCGCCCCCCGGCCCGCTCGGCGTCCGGCCGCGTCTGGTGGGAGTGCAGCGGAATCCGCGCCCGGAGCGCGGCCAGAGCGCGGCCAGTGACTCACACAGCCCACGGCCTCCGCCAGCCCGGCTCCTCCTGCTCCTGGGCAGCGGAGCCCAGCCCCGGCCGCTCTGCTGGGACCCCCCGGGCCCGCAGGGCTGTGGGCAGAGCGCAGCGGGCAGCTGGCACACAGCTGGAGGGGCTGCAGCCACCAGGCATGGCATGGCACGGCATGGCATGGAATGGCACGGCACGGCATGGAATGGCACGGCATGGCATGGCATGGCATGGCATGGCACAGCACGGCATGGCATGGCACAGCATGGCACGGCACAGCATGGCATGGCACGGCATGGCACGGCACGGCATGGCATGGCACAGCATGGCACGGCACGGCATGGCATGGCACGGCATGGCACGGCATGGCATGGCATGGCATGGCATGGCATGGCATGGCATGGCATGGCATGGCATGGCACGGCATGGCATGGCACAGCACGGCATGGCATGGCACAGCATGGCACGGCATGGCACGGCACAGCATGGCACGGCACAGCATGGCATGGCACGGCATGGCATGGCACGGCACAGCATGGCATGGCACGGCATGGCACTGCACAGCATGGCATGGCACGGCATGGCACAGGACCCCCGGTCAGGGAGGCGCTGGAGTGGTTTGATCAGCTGCAGCCCGTGCCAGCACTCGGGGCACTGAGGGGGCTGGGGGAGCACGGGGGCCTCGGGGGGCTTGGGGGGGGCCTAACGTTAAAAGCCAACATGGCCCAAGCAGGCCAGGACGAAGCAGGCCAGCAGCAAGGCCCGGGAGCGGGGGCTGGGCACGGCACGGCACGGCACGGCATGGCACGGTGCCGAGGCACGGCTCAGCCCCACGGCAGCGGCAGCGTCGCATCTGTGCTGCGGAGATAAGGAGCCGGGGGGGCCGAGGAGGGGCGATAGCAGCCTGCAAACGGTGAACACCGCCTGGAACGGGACACGTGTCCCGTGGGATGCGCCCGCCACGCCCGCCACGCTTCCCGCACGCTGCCAGGGCCCCGCCACGCTTCCCACGGCTCCGGGACGCTTCCCACGGCTCCGGGACGCTTCCCACGGCCGCACCGCGGAGGACGTGGGACAGCGGCGGGAAGAGATTCCCCATGGCCGCCGGAGGCAGCGCCGGGGGGCGGAGGCCGTGCCGGGGGTGCCGGTGGTTGCCAGCCGCGGCCCCTCGAGGCCGGTGAGTCACTGCTGCGGCCAGAAGCAACATCCAACAGCGCTCCCGGCCTGGCACAGCCGGAGCCGCCAGCGCGGTGGAAAAGCTGAGTGGAGCGGAAAGGGGGACACGGGGGGGGTTCCCAAACCTCTGGGGCCCCCACCCGCCCGCTGCCGCCACGTCTCTGGCAGCCTTGGAAACCGGAGCGGAGCCAAACAAACAGCGGCATCCTGCTGCCGAAACCAGCCGGCGCCGCCGCCAGGCTGCCAAGCTCTGCCGCGCCCGCCCGAGCTTCCTCAGCCCTCTGCCCTGCAGCGCTCTGCCTCGCAGCCCCGCGGGCACGGCCATGCGGACCCGGACGGGAGTTCCGGCTGAGCTTTTCGGTTCCCCGAAAACACCTGCCTTGGCACTGTGCCACCACCAGTGACGCCGAGAGCAGCTGGTACAGCCTCTCGTGGGCACCGGGCAGCTCCTTCGTGGGCACCGGGAAGCCCCTTGTTGGCACCGGGAAGCCCCTCGTTGGTACCTACAAACCCACCGTGGGCACCGGGCAGCCCCTTGCTGGCACCGGGAAGCCCCTCGTTGGTACCGACAAACTCACCCTGGGCACCGGGAAGCCCCCCGCGGGTAGCCCCTTTATGGGCACCGGGCAGCCCCTTTGTGGGCACCGGGCACCCCCTTGTTGGCACCGACAAACCCACCCTGGGCACCGGGAAGCCCCCCGCGGGTAGCCCCTTCGTGGGCACAAAGTAGCCTCTTCATGGGCACCGGGCAGCCCCTTTATGGGCACCGGGAGCCCCCTGTGGGCACTGGCACCCCCTTGTTGGCACCGGGAAGTCCCTTTGTGGGCACTGGGAAGCCCCTTGTTGGCACCGGGAACCCCCTTTTTGGGCACCGGGCAGCCCCGTACGGGCACCGGGAACCCCCTTTTTGGGCACCGGGCAGCCCCGTACGGGCACCGGGAACCCCCTTTGTGGGCACCGGGCAGCGCCCCTTCCCCTCCAGAAGGGTTTCATGAACAGCTCTAACCCAAACCCCCTGCCCCGGCAGGGGTACCCCGGGCACCACCGGGGGCACCCCCCGAGCCCCGGGGGGCGGCAGAGCGCAGCCCTCAGCACCGCCCAGCGCAGCCGATGCTGCCGGAGCCCCCCGGGCGCTCCCAGATCCCAGTGATGGGCCCCGGCAGGTGCGACCTTGGGGGTGTCCTTCGGGCTGGAGCCGCGCCAGGGACAGCGGCCCAGCCCCGGTGTCCCCCCCGGCGGGGGCTCCGGGCCTCCCAAGGTGCCCTGCCCGCCTTATCTGGCACCGGCACCGGCAGCGGCAGCGGCCGCCGCGGCTCGCACCGGCCGCGGGCTCGGCGCGTTCCCAGCGCGGCGGCCGCGGGAGCGGAGCCATCCCGGAGCGGCGGCAGCCGCGTGACGGTGCCCGGTGCCACACGCAGACCGACGGAAGCCGCGGCCAACGCCCTGGAAAGTGCCGGGGGGGCGGGAGGGCCGGGGCCGCCGGCAGAGCCCCGGCAGCTCGGACGCAGGTGGCTGAGGGGGTGCGTGGGGGTCTCACGGGACCCCCGGACACCGGCACCCTCTCGGCCCTTCCCGGCCCCCTCTGTCACCAGATCTCTGTCCCCAAAAGCATTTGGCACCTCCACGCCTCGGGATGGGGATGCTGCGGGAGGGTTTGGGCGGCCAGCCCAGCGCCGGGAAGCTCCTGGCGGGACCCCCACTCGAGAAAGGGCCAGAGTGGACAGGGGTGGGCACGGGCCGGCGGCACCGGGGGGGCACACTCTGTCCGTGCTGAGTCACCCCTGGGTACCATCACCCCCCCGGCCTGGGTACCACTCCCACCGGGATGCTGCCCCACGGCCGGTGACGCCCCCCAGAAGCCAGGGCAGCACGTCGCTCCCCTTGTCCCCCACCCCACGGTGGGTGGGTCCCCCCCAGGCCCCCGCAGGACCCCCCACCCACTCGGGACCCGGCGCGGTGCAGGTGTCGAGCGGCTCCCCCCGAGCCCGGGCCGGGTGGGCGGGGCGAGGGGCCGAGCCGAGCGCGGCGCGGGGGGGCCGAGCGGAGCCCAACTCACCGGTGCCCCCCGGCTCGTCCCGCTGCCGCCGCCAGTACCAGACCAGGGCGAGGGATGCCGCGTGCCCCGCCGCCACCAGCGATGGGAACAGGGACCCGGTGTCCTCCATGAGGGGCACGGCGCGGGCTCGGCACCGGCCGGGCTCGGCGGGTCAGGGACGAACCAGCGCCCGCCCCCACGGGGCAGCGCCCTCTCCGCCTTAACCCCTCCCGAACCGCGCCGTGGAGACGCCTCCTGCCCGCCGCACCGGCAGGGCCCCCCCGTTCCGCGTCTTCACCCCCCCCCCCCCCCCCCCAGTGTCCCCTTCATCCCGGCTTTTTATATCCCGGGACAAGGCGCCCCGGCGGCGCCAGCCCCCCCCGTTCCCGTCCTTTCCGCAGCCCCACCGGTCTCACCCACCCGGTACGACCTTCATGGGCAGGCAGGGAGCGGGCAGGTGCGGGCAGGGTGCGGACAGGTGCGGAGCGTGAGCGAGGGCGCAGCGCGGCTCCGCCGGTGGCGGCGGGGGCTGGGGGGGGGCGGGCAGGGAGCGGGTGTCGATATAAATAACCGGGGCCCGTCACCGAGCCCGAGTTAGAACATGACACGGGCGGGGGCGGGACGGGGCGACCGCGGCGGCGCCCCAGGACCCCCGGACCCCCCGGCAGCGGGGCGGGTGGTGACCGTCACCTCGGGGGTCGCCGTGACATCGAGACTAAGGAGCCCCGGCACGGCCCCGCGCTGAGGGAGGCCGCGCCCCCGAGAAGGGGGGAAAATGGGGCCGATGGGGGGTCCCGGGACCCCTTCTGCCCCGCGGGGACCCCGCAATCCCCGCCGCCGGCGCGACCCCGTCCCCGCAAGCCGGGACTCCAGGCCGGGTTTTCCGGCAGCGGCTCCCGGGGCGGAGGGAAAGCGCGGAGCCGGATCCGCTGGCGGCGGGACTGGACGGGACGGGCGCGGCGCCGCGATCGCGTCCCACGCGAGGGTCGGGGGACACCGCAGCCCCCGAGCCCAGCGCGAGATGCGACCCCCGGGAAGAGCTCCGGGGAACCCCTCCCGTCCCCACGGGACGTGGGTGCCGCCCGCGCAGGACCCGCACCCACGGGGCAGCAGCGCCGCGGGCCCGGCCCCCCCGCCGGCCGGTGACTCACGGCGCTGGCAGGGACGGGGCTCGGCGCCTCCAGGCTGGAAACTTGGACCGGAGGCGGCTGCCCACGGCCACGGGCTGACTCACAGCCCGGGGGGATCGGGGGGGGCCCTCACCGCCGCCTCGGAGCGACACCGCAGCTGCCCCGCCCGGGGGGGAGGGACACCGGACGCCCCGCACCCCCGCCGGGTCCAGCTGCCGCCGATCGTGTGTCGGGATCGCGTGTCGCCGGGGAGGCGGGGTTGGGGACCCCCCCTGCCGCAGCGGCAGCCCCCTCCCCAGCAGCGCTGCCCGCCCCAGCTGCCGCCGTCTGTCCGACCCACCCCAGGCCCCGCGGGGACCTCGGGGCGCAAAATCCCCACGGAATGTCCCAGCCCCTGCCACGGGCCCCCTGAAGCGCTGCTCCCCACGTCACGGACACCCCACGGCACAGCCCCCCCCCAATGCCACCCCTGCAGCACCAGGGGTCCTGCCACCCCACTGGCCCCTATGGACCCCGGGAAGCCACCTCACTGCACCCCAGCCCCCCATGATCCCCCAGGGACCGCTCCTGCCCAGAGCATCCCCGTGGGGCCAGGGGCACACGGTGAGGAGCCCCCAGCGCTCTCCTCCCTCCTCAGACAGCGCAGGAGCCTGCAGGTACCCCCACCCCATCCTCGGCTCGGAACTGGGGGGGTTTAGGAGACCTTAAGGATTTGTCCTTGTCCCAGACCCCCCCCGGCAGCAGCGGGGCTCGAGTGCCCCCCACCCACGAGAGCTCCCCGGGGCGCCGGTCGGTACCTGCGGCCGGGCCGGGCTGGGGGGGCGGCCGGCACACCCCCTGCCCCGCGCTGGCGGCGACGGCTTCCACGTGCCCCTCGGCCTCGTCCTTCCTGCGGTAGAGGCGGTCACCGGCGGCGGGACGCGCCCGCTGGGTGCCAGCGCCGGCCGGGGCAGCGGCGCGCCGGGGCTCGGGCCGGGGGACGGCGGGGCGGGGGACGCGCTGCAGGGAGCGCGGCACCACGTCCGGCGGCAGCCGCAGGTACTGGCGCAGGTGGGCCACGCCGGCGTCCGTCAGGTACCAGTAGAGGTGTCGCCAGGCCGCCGTCTGTCGCACGAGGCCGCGGGAGCGCAGCGAGGCCATGGCGCGCCGCACCTCCACGTTGGCCACGCCGGGCAGCTGCGGGTGGGTGCGCCGGGGGCAGCCGTCCCGCTCCCCGACCAGGACACCCTCGCGAAACAGCAGCTCCAGGATGGAGCGGAGCCGCTCCAGCGGCATCAGCATCCCCGCCACCATGGCTGGGCAGCACGGCGCAGGGCACGGCCCGCAGGGCTCGGTCACAGCTCAGCACCGCTCCGTATGGCCCAGCCCAGGCTGCCCCAGCACAGCCCGGTGTGGCCCGGCACAGCCCGGTACGGCCCGGCACGGCCCAGCTCGCTATGGTCCAGTACAACCCAGCACGGTCCCACTCGGCTCAGGTGCTCCAGCCCAGCCCGGCACGGTCCGGTTCGGCTCGGTACGGCCTGGCACAGCCCAACGCGGTCCGGTACAGCCCCGTATGGCCCGGCACGTCCCGGCGCGATCCGACACGGAGCGGCGCTGGCTGCCGGCACGGCGGGAGCGGCTGCGGCTCCACCCCCGGCCGGGGGGGTCAGGGGGGGCCCCAGGCCCAGCCCTGACTCACCAGCGGCCCCTCCCCGGCCCCGGCTCCCGCCCGGGGGGGGCACGGCCGGACCCGCCTCCCCCTTCCCCCCCCCGCCCCGACCCACCGGGCCGGTTCCTGCGTGGGAACCCCCGCGGGTCCCGCCCCGCCCCGGGACCGGGACCGGCCCCGGGGAGTGCCCGGGGGGACCCTGAGCCGGGGGGGAAGGTGTCCCTGAACCGTAGGGATCCTCCAGAGGGAGGGGGACACCGAGCTGCGGGGGTCTCCGAGCTTGGGAGGGACTCCCCGAGCCCGGGGAGGGACCCTGAGCCGCGGCTGTTCCCGAGCTCGGAGAGGAGCGAGAGCCCGGGGTCCCTGAGAGGGAGGAGGCTCCGGGCCCGGCACGGCCCCTCCCGGCTCGCCGAGCATCCCGGGCTGAGGGCAGAGCCACGGGCTCCGGGCAGAGCCACGGGCAGCGGCCAGAGCCACGGGCTGCGGGAAGAGCCACGGGCTGTGGGCAGAGCCACGGGCTGTGGGCAGAGCCACGGGCTGCGGGAAGAGCCACGGGCAGGGGGAAGAGCCACGGGCTGGAGGAAGAGCCACGGGCTGCGGGAAGAGCCACGGGCTGGAGGAAGAGCCACGGGCTGCGGGAAGAGCCACGGGCTGTGGGCAGAGCCACGGGCTGCGGGAAGAGCCACGGGCAGGGGGAAGAGCCACGAGCTGCGGGCAGAGCCACGGGCTGGAGGAAGAGCCATGGGCTGGAGGAAGAGCCATGGGCTGAGGGCAGAGCCACGGGCAGGGGGACGAGCCAAGAGCTGCGGGAATGCGTGCAGAGCCAAGAGCTGCGGGCAGAGCCACGGGCTGCGGGAAGAGCCAAGGGCAGGGGGACCTGCAGGTGCACGGGCGCGGGTGCAGGCAGGGGCACGGGCAGGGCTCGGCAGCCACATCCTGCCACGTCAATATTTGCTCTGCTCCTGCCCCTGTTTGTCCCGGCGTCCCCAGGGGGACCCCCCGGCGGTGGCACAGCCCCGGCGGTGGCACAGCCCCGGCGGTGGCACAGCTGTGCCGCGCCACGCCCTCCGGGTGGCAGGTGGGGACGAACGAGAGGCAGCTGCCCCTCCCCCGAGCCCCCCGGCACCGAGCACCGCCCAACGACCCGCACCGGCACCGCGGGGACCCCAGCGCGGCCCCCGGCACGGCAGCGGGACCCCGGCACCGCCGCGGGGGTGGGAGGGCACCGGCTACCCCCCCTCTCCGGGTGCAGGGAGGTTGGGGCACAGGGATAGTGCGAGGCTGCAGCAGGAGCCCCCCAGCAGCCTTGGGGGCATGGAGGGACACCCCCACAGCACCCCGGTCCCTGCCGATGGGATTCACTGGGATTTACTGGGATTTACTGGTGGGGAGCAGCGACCCAGGCATGGGGGGGCTGCTGCCTGTGCGGTGCCCGCCCCAGAGCTGCCCCGGGGATCCCAAACCCGCGGGGGCTGATGTGCACACACTGGCGTCTCCGGGGGCCCCACCAGGACTTGCACAACTTCCCCATCCCCGAGGGCAGAGCCGGGTGGCAGAGTGGGGCATTGCGAGAGCCCCCATCACCGGGGCCCCAGCACAGCTGGTGCAGCGGCACTGGGAGCACTGGGGTGCCCAGACCCCCTGAAAGGGAACGCCTTGGGAGAGCATCAGTGGCCTGTCTGAGCCCCAGCTCGGCTTGCTCCACCCAGAGAGACCCACAGCAGCCCGGAACCGCAGCGGGGTGGGATTGATGGCAGGAGCGAGGGGGGCAGCGGCTGGGGATGGAGGGAGGGGGAGTGATGGGGGCAGGGAAGGGATAAAGGGGGGCAGAGAGGAAGAAATGGGGAGCAGCAATGAGGAGTGATGGCGCCTGCGATGGAGGAAGCTCTGGGGGCATCTGTAGGGAAGTGACCGCGGGGGACAGGGACCGCGGCAGCGCTGGGGGCAGCAGGAGCGCGTCCCCCCAGCCGCGGCCCCGCACCCCCGGTCCGCAGCGGGGTCACGGCCGCGCCGGCGGCTCCCTCTGTCCGGGAAGTGCCGCGTCAGCGCCCGCCGCCCGCCGTGATCCAACGCGATGTGACAGCGGGGCCGCGGCCGGCGTCCCGCGGCTGCCCCGCGCCGGGCAGGGCGCGCCAAGCCCCGCACCCACCGGGAGGAGCCCGCCGGCATCGGCGCCGCAGCTCCGCTCGCCGCCCCGCATCCCGGGGTCACGGCCGGCAGCAGCACGGGCGGCTGGGGGCACCCCCGAGTCCTGGTCCTGTGCAGCCCAGGCTCCCCTCACCCCTACCCCATGGAAGCCTCGGGCAGCCCCCCAAATGTGGGGCGGGCAGCGCTTGCGGCAGCGGCTCCTGGCCACGGGCCCGGCGCTGCCGTCGCGGTGTCGGTG